ATGTCCCCCCCCCCCCCCACCACCTGCCCGGCCGCAATGATTATAAAAAACTATTATTCTTTCTTGCATTATTAAAAAACAAAATCTTAAATTAGTGATCCTAAATCTCTATGATTAAAAATTTTAATTTTAAAATATTAAGAATCAATTATTCTTCTCCCCCACATTGATTTTAAAAAACATTAAAATAAGATGCACAAACAAACAGTTTACAAAATTCAAAACTTGCCTTTTTAACATTTTCTTAGAAATAAGATGCACTTAAATAATAAAAGATATTCTAATTTAAAATCCACAAAAGACAAATTTATAAAGTTTGTGAACTATTTGTTTATGACTCTAACATTTTCCCTTTAAAAATAGTAAAACACACAAAATTCTACGCATTTATAAAAGTACTACGTATTATGCAATTATGTAAGAGCACGTCTCTAAAACTTACCTAGTTCTTAACACCACGTCACCACTGAGGGACTACTAAACCTTTTAAGAAATTTGGTATTAGAAAAAGAGCGTGTGTTTGTCTGGTATACAAATGAGCTAAGTCTTGAACTAATTAGCTATTGCATCTTGGATTTTCTGTACAATTTTTCTTACTTTTTTATTATCCTAAATCTTCATTGTCATAAATCTTCTCACGCTTCCCTCCACACCTAGATCTTCTTTGTCACAATCTTCTTTGCATAAATTTGTGTCGTTTCATAAAATATCATCCTATGAAGTTTCCATGTACGATTACGTAAATGAAAACGTAGGAAGTAAGTCCTCTCATTCAAAATTTCTTAATTTTATTTATAAACATTTTGAATTGTAAACAGTATAAGTATGTACCCAGTAAATTATAAGTTACAGTTTAAGATTATTTTGATTAAAATAGTAAACCAAGTTACCAAGATAAAGTATAAAAGTCTTATTAAATCTTTTTTCTAATTTTTTTAAATATTCAATATTTTAAAAATAGTCAAATAAATTGTATGGAAATACTTTTATTTCATATCACAATTAGTCAGCTTACCATAAAAAAAACTTCAATGTAAGATATGCATTGAGTCAATCTCATAGTATACGTATTATCCATTTGTCTAAAAATAAAGTACATAATCATGACACGTATAATTCTCTTAGAAAAAATAGACTTAAGTCTTTTAGTCACCTAATTAGTAAAAAATTTCTTTGAGTAATCTCAAAATAGTCTCTTCGAATAACGTATTTTCCAAAATCAGTGTTCAATTTTTTATTGTTTCTAAAAAATATTGTCAAACTTGACAATAGATATTTAACCTAATTTTTAAATATTATATTAAATGTATGTGAAATTGATACAGAGGTGAAGTGAGTATCTTATCTATCATTATAAGCTACGTTATAAATGAAGAGAAACTTTTATTCGTTTTAAGTTCAATAGTCAATTTAATTTTTGAATGAATATTATATTTGTTTTATATTTAATAAAGTTATTATAATAATAATTAGATCAATTTTTTTACCACTAAATAAATGTTAAAAGTTCTCATTTTTTAATTTGTTTTAGTTTGTTTTAATTAATTTTTATTTTTCTATGAAAATGAACTAATTTCCTTTTTATTCAATTGACTGATTTTTAAGCTTAATTGGAGTCCGAGCAAAATATTGTGGCAAAAATTTTACTACAATTTTTTTAAGTTAAAAAAGAAAATTTTCTTTTTTCCATTAATATTATTTTATGCAATATTTTATTTATGTTTCGCTAATTTTATTATGTTACATAATTTATTTTATTATATCATAAATTAGTCGAAGGAAACTTCGATTCAATGCTCTTGATGACATGTATATTGAGGTGTTAAAAAATGTCTAGTCAACAAGCCATATGACGTAATTCTAGAACTCCAACTCTCCTTTTTTATATATAAAGATTTCTGCTGGTTTACTCGGATATTACATGGCGTGCTGGCATGTTTAAATTTTGCCAGATAGAGATGCCAAATGTCAAATTTCTGTACATCCGAGTCTCCTTTATTATATTAAAAGATTTAAATCTTATTTTTATATGTAAAGGATATCTAAGTCATACAATCTTAATTTAGCTATAACTTTTTAAGTGAAAAAATTGTAATTATAATTCATCTTTTACATTTTTAAAATAAAATCGTTTGACAATTCCAGTAAAGTTCAGTTGGAAAAAAAATTTGATTTTTAAAATTTTTAAGAAAATAGGTTTTTTTGTGAAACATATCAAATGTGAATATACATTTTTTATTTTTAAAAAGAAATTTATTTTATTTATTTACTAATTGAATCTATTTTATCCACGTGTTTTTAAACTCTTTTGTTTGAAGTCATGATATTTTTTTGTTATTTATAATTTTAAATATTTCAATCTATTTATAATCGATTATTGATGTTAGAATAATCCATGAATTTGAAGAATATAAACAAATACTGATATAGAAAAATAAGATGTATCCAAATCGATGCAACTCCTTTTAGAGTTAAAATCATTATATATATATATATATATATATATATATATATATCTATATATCTATATATATATATATATATATATATATATATATGAGTAAATTCCATAATTGGTCCTTTATAACAGGGGGATTTCCATATTTAGTCCTCTATTATCAAATATTACCCTCGTAGTCCTTTTTTTAAGGGTACCTTTCCACAAATGGTCCTTTTTTTGATCTTTTGCCGTGTTGGTGTTAATTTAAAGGCTAAAAGTATAAATTGACGTCAACATTATGTCTAGTGACGTGTTCTGATATTGGTTAAGCGGATAACACAAAAATAATGACTATGATTGTGGGCTAGGATTCTGACGAAAGATCACATTTGTAGACTATAGTTGTCGTAAAAAGCGACTATAATTCACAAACGACACAAACGGAATAGCCTTTGGAATTGTGTATGACAAAAAAGATATATTATCATTGTGAAATTACACTTTTACCCCTCAAATTAACACCAACATGATAGAAGATCAAAAAAAGACAATTTGTGGAAAGGTACCTATAAAGGAAGGACCACTTGAGTAATGTTTGATAATAGAGGACTAAATAGGGAAACCCCTCTGTTATAAAGGACCAATTATGGAATTTACTATATATATATATATATATATATATGAAATTTATATCATATAAGAAGATTACAAACTTTGACCATGAAAAATTAAATAAGAAGATTGTTTTCGGATGAAGGGGTATTTAATTAAATTCCTTAGCTGTAAAATATTTCGTTTAGTTCTATATCTTGACCTGGTCCAACTTATTAATCCGATCGGGTAAATGTACAATATTAGTTGGTAATCATTACTTTTTGATGATTGATATCAAAAAACACTTTATTCGAAAAGAACTATTTAGAGAATTTTGACCTATTCAGGATCGAATTGGGGAAA